ACAATCCAATCATGTGGCCAATCATGAAACAAAACACCTGAACTTTGATATAAAGCTTATAAGGTTCAAGGTTCAAGGTTCTTTATTTGTCACATGCATAGTTATACAAGTATAACACACAGTGAAATGTAACCTGACACGCTCCTCGACATGTGCAAAAGTGGGGGTGGGGGGGGTGGGGGGTGGTAGAGGAAGAACATTATGAACATTATCATAGCGAGGAAGAACGCTGTAGTTTTGGATCATAGCCAAAACTAGTTGCAATCCATAGTTGTTTCATTCGGGCAGTGTGCTTATTGAAATTTATGTCCTGAACTCCAAAAACTTACATTATATATATATATATATAGTATATACATTGGGTGAATGTGCAAAGAAAGCATCCGGCGGAACAACAAATCAACCCCAAAAATTAGTCATAAAGAAAACCTGGCCATCATTCTAAACTGGCTGCAATCCATAGTTGTTTCATTCGGGCAGTGTGCTTACTGAAATTTATGTCCTGAACTCCACTCCATTCCTAAATCATGCACCAACACCAAAATGTATTTTAGCTGATGGAGGACATGTTTTTTTAAAATCTCAAACAAAAGTTAGCCTCCACAGTGTGGTGGTGTAAGCACTTTTATGTTCTTACATCGTACATGTACCAAAATACAAACCAGATGATCTTACTTTCCGAACCTACTAACTGTGACAACAGTGCTTTCTGAGCTGTGTTAGCTCTCGAACACACACAGTATGGGTGAAAATAAAAATGGGTTCTTTACCTCTGAATCAATCCTGGCCCTCTAAAAGCTCAATCAGGAGATATATTAGCAGTCACACTTTGCACAGGCAACAAAGATTAGAAGTGTCACATCTCATTATTAACTCCTCAAGTGAGTACATAATGCAGATGAACTGTTATGATCAGTAGGAGAGTGATTTAATGGAAAAACAACTAGGCAAAAGTTACTAATAATAACTTTTGATAACATATACTGTGGTAACTTGGGATGGTGAGGTGCCACTTAGATGCGATTTCCTATACCAGGGTGCAATTTTGTTCTGCTTATCCAATTCAGGGTCACCTTATCCAGTTGTCATAGGGCAAAAAGCAGGGGGTAGTCCATACAGGCTGTCATCTTGCTGTAGAGCAAACACTCAATAAAGAATTGTTAATTAACATAACTTTATGTGTGGAGAAAGACTGCAGAGGGAGGTCATGCAGACATGGGAAAAACATGTAAAAGCCATACAAACAGACCCAGCCAGGATTTGAACCCAGGACCCAAGTGCTACACACCATGAGAATTCTTGAATGATAGAAAATACTCCAAATAAGACTAGTAATTTAAAGTAATTAAACTTGAACTTAAACTTAAAGCTGAGAAACTAAAAACTCCTTCTGTTGAGATTCGAGGGTTTCGATATCTTACGCATGTGAAAATGAAAAACTCTGAAACTATCATTTTAGGTTGTGTGTGTGGTTGGTGTGGATGGTTAAGGATCACAGGATCTTCCATAAAACCATTTTTTTCACTTCCATTTTCAATATCATTGAAATAGTTATGTACTGATGTACATTTTTCTTCTGACAGGTTTCATTAGTGATCAAGCTAGGATTTTTATTTTTAACTCTGCCAAAAGCAAAAACAATCAAAACTGCAGTATGCAAGTTTTTGATACAATAAATAAAGACACACCTTTATTCACAGGTAACACAGGTAATCATGAAGCCATTGTTGTACACTACACAACTATATAAATGACAGATCGATCATAATCACAGATTTGCAGTGACTTAATACATTAATTCTTATAATATATATTAATATATTTTCTTTAGCTATTGAGTAGTCCTTTATATTTAGGCATGTCATGTGCAGCTGCCTTATGAGAAGCCGCTTCTGTCTTTGCTGAAACCCACAGAACAAAACCCACTGTGAGACCAGCCATTTTCATGTCTTACGTCTGAGAAACAGGATATAAAACAATCACATGCTGACACGACGCCTTCATCTGTAACGGCACATCTGAAAAAAAATCATGATCTAAGCAGTTGGTGCAAGTAGGATTTTTTTTTGTCATCTACCCTTTTTGTACAGACCAAATGACCCACAGTGCTTTCATTAAAATGTCAATCTGTTGAATCAAGTTTTACTTTCTCTTTCCCAGCTGCTAAACCTCAACTAAATCTTGTTCACACTATTCTTTGCTTCTTTTTTATGCCACTACACCCCATTAATCTACAACATTGAAAGCACAGACAAGTTCAGTGAGTTACTTAGATACCTGGAATAACATCATAACGTTATATATGTGGATGGTACTTTCACACCTACCAATTATGTTTACACTGCAGACTATGCACAAGGCATTGCTAATAGGGAAACAGCCTTACTAGAGTGCAAAACAGGTTAATGAAACACAAAGAGCCCAAGGTGTTCACCCACCCTCCGAGTTCTGCAGAAAACCACTGTGGAAAATACTTAATCCACTGAAGCATCAACCTCCAGTGTACACAATCCAAAGGATCGTCTGCTAACATGTGGCAGACACCATAAAAGTTCCTTGTTCAAGCCCCAGTGGGTGTGACCTGATCATCTTAGTTATAGTTAGAGATGGATCATGTGACCCTGAATTCTCCCTTAGTTATGTTGCAATAGGTGTAGGCTGTAGGGGGACTCCCATGATGCCTTGTGTTTCTTCATCAGTGAACATTTTCACTCACTATGTGTTAATAGACCTCTCTGCATTGAATACTTGTTATTGATCTCTGTCTCTCTTCCACAGCATGTCTTTATTCTGTTTTCCTTCTCTCACCCCAACCGGTCGCAGCAGATGGCCCCGCCCCTCCCTGAGCCTGGTTCTGCCTGAGCCTGTTAAAAGGGAGTTTGTCCTTCCAACTGTCGCCAAAGTGCTGCTCATAGGGCGTCATATGATTGCTGTTTTTTTTTTCTGTATGTATTATTGTCGGGTCTACCTTCCAATATAAAGTGCCATGTCTTAATACCTCTACTCATTATCAAGAATAGCACACTAGCAGACACTGTAACATCCTGGAGAAAAAAAAAGACACAATTTCACTTTCATTTGGAACTCAAGGTTTGGCATCTGTTCTCTGTTTTCTTCCTGTGGGTTGAGGCATATCCATCCATCCATCTTCATCCGCCGGGTCATGGGGGCAGCAGCCTAAGCAGAGAGGCCCAGACCTCCCTCTCCCCAGCCACCTCCTCCAGCACCAAGGCGTTCCCAGGCCAGCCGAGAGATATAATCTCTCCAGTGTGTCCTGGGTCTGCCTCGGGGCCTTCCTGTGGGTTGAGGCATATCCTTTGTTTTATTTTACCATCCCTATAAGAAGAAAGGGAAGCTAGTAGAGTGGGTTTATACCTTGCTTTATTGGCTTACTCGATATTTTGTTAAACAACAGTTTTCTGCGTAATTTAATTATAGAAATTCTGGTGAATAAGAATATATCTTAAGTTTGTTTAATGTGAGCAACAGCTCTTAAAACAAAATTAGTTAATAGACCGATCCCTGGAGGCGTATCTTCACTGTAATGACTAAAGAATACAAGAGTACAAGAATAGAATAGAATAATCCTTTAATTGTCCCACAAGGGGAAATTTGGTTGTAACAGCCGCAAAAAAAAAAAACAGACAAAAAAACAAAACACATATACAAACAGAACAGAAACATATTTTTTTAATTTTTACATCATGAACATTAGTTACCAAAGCAGAGTACTGTAGTTATTAAAATTAGAGTACAGATAAGTGGCAAACCCAGGTTGTAGTGTACAAACAGAGCAGGATACTGAAAGATGTTTAAATAGTTAAGAATATTCAGAGTAATTAGAAAAGTGCAGATTGTCTCTTGTACCTGTGCATTAAAAAGTAGACATGTAACTTCCAATAAGTTAGTTATAAACTGAGAAAAATAATGTGTAAGTTATAAAAGTTGTTTGGTTGGTTAGTGCAAGTTACAGTGCTCATGTCAACATCTGTGTTTGTTGAGGGCAGTTTTGATTGTACAGTCTAACAGCTGCAGGGAGGAAGGACCTGCAGAAACACTCCTTCATACATCTAGGATGCAGCAGTCTGTCACTGAAGGAGCTCTGCAGTTCAGCAACAAACTTTTCCAACAGCTGTGTGAGTATCTACAAACTTGCTCAGCCAAACACCCACAGATGCAGGAGTTTTAGAGAGAAGTCTGCAGATGATGTGGCATTTTCCTGTTGCGCTGAACAATTTCGTTAATTCTCCTCATCATCTGCAGCAATGTCAGCAGTAAACACTAGATGGCAGCATAGGAGAAGCTTCTTCACTATGTGATGATCTGTGGTCATCAACTGAACAGCATGATGTTGTTGTTGTTTTATTTCTTCCTCAAACACATATTTTGAGTTAAAGCCACTTTGTTTATGAATAGATAATAAAATTCTTCTGGCACAAACTGGCTTTATTTTGTTATAGGTGCAAATCCAGAACAAAGCAGAGTTGCACTCATGTTCATAAAACATTATAATCAAACATTAAGTTTGAAGTATTGTACTTCTACTGTACAATATAAAGCGTCTTGAGGCGACTTTTGTTGTGATTTGGCGCTATATAAACAAAATTGAATTGAATTGAAGTAAGTACAACCTGTTTAGATACAACATGCTCTAAAATTTTACAATTTCCTGTTTCAGAACAGTAAACAGATTATTTTATGCTCACTGAAATCATTCACGGCACCACGGTGGTTAGCACTGTTGCTGCACAGCACAAAGGTCCTGAATTCAATTCCAACATCAGGCTGGGGTCTCCTCCCACTGTCCAAAGACATGCAGCTTGTGGGGGATAGGTTAATTGGAAAATCCAAATTGCCATTAGGTGTGAATGTGAGTGCGAATGGTTGTCTGTCCCTGTGTGTTGGCCCTGCGACAGACTGGCAACCTGTCCAGGGTGTACCCCACCTCTCGCCCTGGGATAGGCTCCAGCACATTAAATCTGCCATTTGTTAGGTTTCTGTTCTGTACCTGCCCTGGTCTCTCTTCTCTGTGTTCCCTCTGTCTGTCCATGATGTCATTATGTCTGCTCATGAGCTCCAGACGTGACACAGAACTAAACACTGTTTAGTTCTGTGTCACATCTGGATCTCTGTGTCTGTCGTGTACTTCTTGTTTTACTTTGTAGGTCTGTGCCTTATGTTAGTGCATTCAGCTATGTGCTCTCCCTGTCTCGTCAGTGTAATCAGTGTCAGCCGTGTCTTCCAGCTGTTTCCTCTTTGCTCGGTTCACCTCTTGTATTATTTAGTGTCTGCATCGTCCCCTGCTTGTTGTTGCATCGTACCCTCACTTTCACTGTGGGTTCTGTTTGCCTGCCTGTTTAGTTTGTTCTGTGTTCCCAGTTTAGTTAGCTTTATTGCTGGAAAGAAACTGAACAAAAAAAACCTGAGCATTTTGAGTTACTTCTGCCTCCGTGAGTCCTGCATTTTGGGTCCTCTCTTTCTGCCTGCCTGCACACATTCATGACATTAACCTTGGAAAACAGAACTTATGTCTTAATTATTATATTATTATAATTTCCACATTTTTAGATAGAATTTTGTTTTTTGTTTTTTGAAACAGTGATGCATTTTCTTTACTTACTTCCAACACACTAAGTTACATATGGCCTGTATGTCTTTCAGTTTCATATTGTTTTGTGATATTTGGCTGACAAAATGAAGTTTAAAAAACGTTTCTCTGACATAAAATGCACTTTTGGACATCCTGTATTTTACACCCACATTTCAATCATCTACGACTTCTTTAAATGCACACATAAATGTAATTTAATTTACTTAATTACTTCCCTCTTTGCATATTGAGATTCATATCACTAAACATGATAGAAACATATATTATTTTTAGATTTAGATAAGACACAGGAGGACAGACGCTTTTTATCACCTTTAAAAATCACCTTTAAACCTTATTTTTAGGAAGTAGTTTGGTGGTATTTAGGCTTGTTTCCTGTTCATCTTTCACATCGACTGCAAAGGTTCCACTCAATATTACCCCACTCTACCCTTTAGATTTTTGTTTTTTTCTGTCGCATGCAAATCATGGCATGGAGGCATCACCAGGACTCAGCTGGTGAAATGTTGCAGCATTTACCATTTACAGCAAGGTGCAGCACGGTAAAAACAAACAAATGTGGAAAGTCAACTCCATTCATTTGTACTTTATTTACAGCATGGTACACGCTTACACTTATGCTAGTACTCACGGTAGTAGACCGTGAGTACTACATTTCAGTTAGACACCTGCTCATTATACCACTTCACAATTTTATTTCTCTGCTGACCACAAACAAGGTGTGAAGGCTTAAAAGTGATGTGGCATTTCATATTAGCAGCCGAGTTCTACTTACAAGCCTTCAGCAGCTATTTTTCATGAACAGCATTTATAAACATGTAAAAGAACAAGGCAAATGGAAAAAGTTGGTTTTACTTTCAATCCCTAAATAACATTTGTTAACTTTTGTTAGCATAGAAAGTTATAAGCACTCTCAGCTGTGTGGGTCAGACTGCATCTAACTGAACCTATGCAAGATGTAACAATTTACAGACATGCACAGTATACCTATCTAAAGTAACCTGTCTTTCTTCATTGTTTTCACTCAGACATGAGCAGACATGAGCTTAACGATTTAACGATCCTCCTTCTGTTAGCTCTTTCTCTCTGCAACCTGCAAAGCACACAGGAAGTAGAGAACATATAGAAGACCTTCTGGCTATTTTTTTTAAAAAAAGCATAGAAATTCATTGCAGTGGTTCATGTTAAAGCTTCAAATACTGACATCATCCAACAGTTTGAACAGAGCCCGCCACGAACTGCAGAATTCCATCAGAGCTGCAAAGAGGCCCCACTCATAAAAACTTGATGGCTATTACCTCAACAACAACACGTGCAGCATGTGGCAGGGAATTCAAACAAAGGGGAACCTTTGGGAACAAAGGGCGCACTGACAGAGGTAAGGCTGCCGAACACTGGCGCCACCAGGCCCTCTGACCACCACCAGTAGGCAACAGGTGAAGTGTCTTGCCCAAGGACACAACGACCGAGACTGTCCAAGCCGGTAAACTTCTGATTACAAGGCAAACTCCCAACTTTTGAGCCACAATTGCCCCATAATAAATGTGGCGTTATAAATTGTTGCCCTTCTAAATCATTTGCTGTAATAAGTTTTGTTCATTTATGAAATGCAATTATGAAAAACATAATGTATCAAATTTAAAACAGTTGTGTGTCCTGTTTGCTACTGTTGGTTTATATATTTTAAATATCCCACTGTGTGCAAACACACTGCTTGAGCTGTCAAGTAGCTGACCATGTGACCGCCAGTTAAAAATAAATCTGATGTGCACAATGCCACATAGCATTTTCATTATGCAAAACACCTTGAGCTCCTATTTGTTGAACTGAGGGTGATCAGCTGCATACATTTTTGTCTCTGGGTTTCAAGTGTGGTTATTGTCAGAGATGTTAAAAAAGAAGCTGGTTAAGTGTGTCTTTCTGTCTGTGAGAACATCTTCAGCTGCTGAAACACAGTGTAACAATGACTAAATAATGACAAGACCTTAGAAAATGCTCCAAAACCTCAGATATATGTAAGTCTTACTCACTAATTTCTGTCTGTAGC